CACCGTTAGCTCTCTCCCTTAGGAGTTTATCAACAGCTCCCTGTTTCTTATCTGACCTCTGCTAGGAGGAAATTTTCCAGTTGGTTCTCTGTCAAGCTGTGTGGCCATGAGCTACTCATTCCCTTTTCTTGGACCTCAGTTTCCTGTTCTAGAACTCCAGATGGCTGGACCAGATGGTCCCTGGGGCCCCTTCCTGCTCTGGCCATCTGAGGAGGAAAGGAGGGGCCTAGAGACAGTGAATGGAGGTGATGCAGAGAAGTGACCAAGGAGCCTCATATAGGACATGGTGATCACTGTCTACCGAGCACCTGATATATGCCAGGCTCTCCACTGTGAGGCTGAACACTTCTTACTATCACTGAATTCACTGTCACAACCCTGGAAGGGATTATTATCCCCATTTCAGACTCAAGGGACAGGGACACACAGAGGTTAGGGTACCTGCCCAAGATCCCACAGCCAGAGGGTGGCAGAACCAGCCTCCTAACCCAAGGGATCAGGTCTGATCCCAGGACTGGAAGGAGAAGAGGCAGGCAGGTAACAAAGCTCAGACTGCCTCCTAGTCCTGCTCTGTGGGTTCCAGGTTTTGGTTTTCCCAAGTTACCTGTTCCCTCAGTCTCACCTAGGGAGAGCTGCCTGCCTGGGGTCTCCGCCCACCCGTTCAGAGGTGAGCTCAGAACCAGCCCAGCCTCTTCCTGCATTCTGCAAACTGTGTCCTGCCCTCTCCTAGGTACTGAGAAAGTGAAACTAACAGACGCAGTCCCTGCCCTAAGAGCCCGCAGTCTCACGGGACAGACTGACAGGTAACCTTGCAGTTAAAACGCAGTGTGTACCATACAGTGCCAGGGCAGGCTCTGCACACACAGGATTGCCTGTAGACAGAATGGAAGTTGGGATGTGGATTCTTAGTGGAGGTTATGTCTGATTTAGGTATTACGAGATGAGCATGTACCTAACAAGTGGAGAAAACCACATGGGTAAGCATTCCAGACAGAGGGAACAGCATGTGCAAAGGCCTGGAGGCAAGCACTGCAAGTTGCTTAGTGTGTCTAGAGCACTGCTGTCCAGTGGAACTTTCTGGGATAAAGGGAGTGTTCTGCATCTGTGCCATCTGATACAGTAGCCACTGGTCACATGTGGCTATTGAGTACTTGAAATGTGCAACCTAGTGTAACTGGTACAACTGAGGGACTGAATTTCAATTTTATTTCATTTGAACTTATTTGAATTTAAATAGCCACATGTGGCTAGTGGCTCTTGTATTGAACAGTGCAGATCTGGATGAAGAGAAAAGGCTGGAGAAGTTTGGGGCCAGGAGTGAAGGGTCTTGAATGCCATGCTCAGGCTATGCCCTTCTTCCCAGACAGTGTGGAAATCCTGCAGAGGGGCACAGGGGCAGGGAGGAGCCTGGGGCCACGGTCCAGAAAAGAAGTGATGAAAACTGAACCAGGCCTGTGGGTGTAGAAAGGAGATAATAAATTCCAGGGCAAACTTAATGACTGATTGGATTGATGGGTGGGCAGTGTCAAGGGTGAATCCCAGATTTCTGGCTTGGATGGCTGTGGGGGTAGGGTGCTCTTCACTGAGATGGGGGATAGAGGAGGAGGAGCAGCTTGGAGGTCCCGTACCACTATTCCAGCAGCCACTGTGATGTCAATGCCTGTGTCCCTTGCTATGAGGCCTCATGGGACTTGTCTCCATCTCTTTCCATGTCGCTGACTCAGCAGCATGTGGGGCCCAAGGAGGCCTCATTCAGCGCATGTTTGTGGATGGACAAATGAGTGTCCTTTTGCTCCCAGGATCCTGTTGTTCCCTGGCCCTGAAAGCAGGGAGGAATTTGTCCAGCTCCCTGGGGTGCCCCAAGTGACGTGAGGAACGCAGCCTCTAGGGCAGTTTCCTTGGAGAGTCTGAAGAGCTGACTGGGTGGCTGGGTCCCCTGTGGGTCCATGAGGACCTCCAAGGGGGAGGGTTGGAGTGCTTGGTTCATCTCAGACTACTGCATCTCATGCAGACTGTCCCAAGCTGGACAGACCCAAGGCCATCAGGGACGAGCAGTCATTCTGTCCTTTTAGGTGAACGTGATCCATCTGTCCCAGTGGCCCAGATGCATACGAACCTATTGGGAATGACTTCCAACTGTTAGTCACAGAAGCTTGACGTAGTAGCTGAAATTAAATGAACCATATTGATTCCTCATGTAAAACAAGAAAGGACCCCAGGCGATGGTGCACCACAGCCAGCTTGTGCCGGTTCTCTAGAGCCAATCGTGCAAACCTCTTCCCAGCATCATGTCCGGGGACCTCCACTGAGAACTTGAAATCGGCTCTGGTGGAAGCCTTTCCACCATGGAAACTGGCAAACACTATAAATTGAGGCTGTTTTTCTTTTTTCTATAGGGCAAGCTTCCTAGTACATCACCGAGTCCCGTGGTGGCGCGGCCATCCCACAGTCGTCAGGGACCCAGGCTGCCTCCTCCTTATATTTCTCTAGTTTCTGCCTGTAATGTCCATCTTTCTGATTGCCTTATGCCCTCAGGTGGCCACCAAAGTTCCAGTCATGTCTACGCATGCTCTCTATTCCCACAAAACCAGCTATTCCCATTTTTCTATCTAATTCATGTTTTCATGGCTGACTCCTCCTCACCCTTCAGCTGTCATCTCGGGTGTTACATCCTCAGAGAAGCCTTCCCTGACACCCTACCTAAATTCACCGCCCATCCTACACGGCTTTATTTTCTCCAGAGCACAGACCATAATCAGTAACTAAATGATGCTTTTATTATTTTCTTTGTTTATTATCTGTCTTCCCCAGACGGGAAGAGCTCTGTCAGTAGGGACTGTGTCTGTCTGGTTCTCTGCTGTATCCCCAATGCCTCAACAGTGCCTGGTGCATAATAATTGCCCAATGAATGTTTGTTGAATGAATAAGGGATAATAAGCAAAGATCATTTTGTTTTCCACATTCTTTCCTTAGTGTGTCATCATAATCGTTTTCTCCTATTGCTATCTAGTCTGCAAAATTAGTTGGACTGGGTGTTTTCTGAGGGCCCTCCCTGCTCTAATGAGATGAATGAGTGGGCAGGAGGTGAATGTGAACAAGTAAGTCAGCTCTCAGCATCACTCACACTCGGCTGACTGGGGAGCCCTGGCCCTGCTGGCTCTTTCCACAGAAACTCACTCCCGAAGCAAACTTCCTTGAGCCCTATCTCAGTTCCAGGCCGCTGATGGGTGCGGAGGGCTGGAGAGAGGAAACGATAGGGCTACCCTTCATGGAGATGGAAGACAGGCAGCCAGAAAAACAACTTAGCTATGATACAGTGGGCCAAATGTCCAGAAATGCAGACAGCTGGGCCCTGTACTGGAAGGGACCCACCCCTATATCCTATTCATTCGACAAATAATTATTGAGGGCCTACTGTGCACTCGGCACTATTCTAAGCTCTGAGAATAGAACAATGAACAAGCCAGACAAGATTTTTGCCCTCATGAAACTCACATTCCAGTGGAGGAGGTGAGCAATAAACACATCGTTGAATAAATGAGCTAGATCACGGACAGCAGGAGGTGCTATGGAGACCATGAAATAGGGTGGGACAGAGGGTGTAAGGAATGCTATTGCGCATGGGCTGGTCAAGCAAGAAAGACCTCTCTGATGAGGCGGCATCTGAGTTGATACTGTAATGATGCAAGAAGAATCGCAGGGATAAAATCTGAGAGGGGAGTGCACCAGGCAGAGGAAGCAGCCAGTGCAAGGTCATAAGGCTGAAACAAGCCCAGAGTGAGGAAGAGGAAGACCAGTTTGGCTGGATGGGAGTGATGGAGACAGCAATGGGACTAGGGCTAGGGGACTGAGACACTTGCATTAAGAGCCCAAAAACCCAATAATCAAGATGAATAATACTTAATGCAATTTTGAAAAATCAATGCCCAGTGAGGGGAGGGTATACATAGTGGGGAGAGTATGGCTCAGTGGTAGAATAAGTACTTAGCATGCACGAGGTCCTGGGTTCAATCCCCAGTACCTCCATTAAATAAATAAATAAATAAACTTAGTTCCCCCCCCCAAAAAATAAACAAAAAAATTTTTTAATTGTGCTCTACACTGGAATTGGACACAACATTGTAAAATGATTATAAATCAATAAAAAATGTTAAAAAAATTTTTTTAAATCAAGCCCAAAAAACCCATGATGAACAAAATATCAAATTTTAAAATAAAGACAAGATGACTAGCAGTGCCATGCCGAGCCATATTGGAACGAGGGGCAAAGGGAAATCAGGGACACAGATCCTGCCATTTAAAAATTTGACATGTTGCCTATCATGGATTTTTGTTGCTGTTCACCAGGTGTGGCATCACTGTAGAAAACGTGTCACATGATGTCACGATCATGGTTTCCAGAACCAGACTTCCTGAGTTCCAATTCTGGCAATACCCTTATATGCTTAGGTGTATGCTTTGGGGCCAGTTTCTTGACGTCTCTGTACCAGTCTCTCCATCAGAAAGTGGAGATAATAATAGTGCCTACCTCTGGATTATTGAGAGGATTAAATGGCCCAATACAAGCAAAGTTCTGAGAACAGTGCAGAGCCCACTGGAAGTGCTCAGAGGAGGTTGGCAGTCAGTCATTGCCATGGACAGTGGTACAACCTTGGTTCCCACCAGAGGATTCTAAGCAAGGAGCCTTGGCCAGCAAATCAGTGTGGGGCAGAACGTATGTGGAGGTGGATTGGAAACGGAATCCAGAAGCTCTTAGGATGGCCAGAGAGGAGGCTGTTGCAAAACTCCAGATGAAAGATGGGAACAGACTATGGAGATACTCAGGAGACAGAGTCTCCAGGACTTGGTTGTTAAACTGAGACCGAAGGAGGGTGCTTGGGGAAGGGAAGAACTGGGCCAGTATAACTCCCAGCGCCGGCAGCTGGCAGGCCTGGGCTCTTCATCAGAAGGCAATACCCAGGCCAACTCTGGCCCCCAGCCCAGCCTTGTCTCTGTTCCAGAGGGAGCTGAAGGAGCAGCTTCAGGCCCTTCAGGACAGTGAACGGGAGCACACGGAGGCCCTGCAGCTGCTCAAACGACAGCTGGCAGAGACCAAGGTGAGCGTGGCCTGGACGCGGGGGCGGGGTGCCAAGGCCGGGGGCGGGGTCTCGTGGGGCAGGGCCAATTGGGAAGTTGAGGGGCGGGGACGCTGGTCGGCGGTGTGGGCGGGGCTTCGAGGGTCTAAACTTCAGGTGACAGGGGCGGGGCATAGGGTGGGACGGAGGCTGGAGCTTCCATGAGGGTAAATGGGGCGAGGACTCACTCCAAGGTGACTGAGGGCAAGGTGATTTGGGCTCGTGCCTGGGTTCAGGATGGGACCCCTTCTCCCTTCCTGCTTTGGGTGAATGTTGAAGTGGGACCAGAGACCCTCTGGAAGACCCTGGCGTCCTGCAGGGCTGGAAGAACGTGCCTAGTCTCTTTTTCCTCTCCCATTATTAAACACACACATTGCCCGAGGAGCCAACCGTGAGAATGTTCCTTCAAAGCCGTCCTTATGATTTATGGCTCAGCCCTGATATCAGCTCCCCTCTTAAACTCAGACTGTGAAGATATAGACTCTGAAAAGTAGGGCCAGACCCTGCAGGTTCTGATCACAATGGTCTGAAAAGAAAAGCCTTTTTCCTTGACCTGAGAGGAGGGCCATAGGTTCTGATCCAGCACGACCACGCTGTCTGACTCTGGGTAAACTGCATACTTTTCTGCACCCCTGGTCTTCCCATCTGTGCAGTGGGATCTACCAGCCTCCTTCCAGCCCTGATGTTCTGGCTCCTAGCACTCTTCCAAGAGGCTCCCTCCAAGTCCCCCACAGATACCGCACTAACTAGGCGAGCCTTGCTCTGATTTCTGCCATACTTCTGGGACCTAGCAGTGGGGACGCAGCCCAGGCTGCTAAGCCCTTGGGGGATTTCAGTGCGGCTCCGCTCCATTGGCAGGGCAGCTGGAACAGAGCCTTAGGAATGCTCTGGGCCCCCAGAGGTCACCCTGGGGCCTGGAGAGGCCGTTGGATATTCAATCCCGTGCCCCAGCTTGGCTACCAACCCACTGTGGGGTCTCAGGGAGGTCATGACACACATTTCTTCAGAGAACATTCCAGAGTGCCTCTGGGCAGAACCCTCAGTGGGCAACAGATGAGAAACAGTCATAGGACTCTGGCCTTTTTGCTTCTCACGGCCTCAGTTTCCCCATCTGCCTGGTGATCTTGCACCTCTCAGGTGAAGAGAAGCACGTGGAAGCCTATGTCTGGAGGAAAGGGGAATATTATGGTCTGTTCTTCTCCCCAGCATTCTCTCCTCCTCTCCACCTCCACCCCCCATTGTTTTTCTCCACTGACCTCTTCTTCCCCTGCTTTCCTGTCCATCTGTGTACCTCTGGGGGGTCCTGGGGGGGCCCCCTCCCCCTCCAGATCCCCCAGCCCTGCTTCCTGTCTGGACTGGGGTGTTTATACAAGAAATGCCTATGGATGCTTTAGAGGTCATATTTCACCTGGTGCCTGACTTGGCTTTCCTGCGGCGCCTGCCCCTCCAATGGCCCTGCCTGAGGGCCTGTCTGATCTCCCTCCCCGGGCCCAATGTTTTCCTTGGTCGGGCCTGACCAAGTGACGCGTTCTTGGCAGGGTGTTTTTTTGAAATGGCCCCAGGTCTTCCAAGCCCCAGTGAGTTCCCAGGGCTGTGGTGGGCCGGGGTGGGGCTGCTTTCCCAATGGTAGCCCTAAAGGGATGAGGGTGGGGGGCCGGCTCTGCCCTAGAAAAAACTAGAGTAAATGGGGCACACCAGTTTAACTGAAACTTTCTCTGTGCTGGGAATTGTGTTCCCCATTCACTGTCTCACTGAATCCCACAGAATGTCACCCCTATGACCTCAGGATCCCCCAGAACCTACACAGTGTCTAGCACACAATAAATAGTCATTGGACAAATGAGTGGGGGGAAAGTACACCTTTTGAGGTAGGAACTGTTATCTCCATTTTGTCGGGAATGAAACTGAAGCACAGAGAAGCTGAGAGACAGGCCACGGGCCCACGGCTGGTAAGTAGCTAATTGAGAGCTTACTGTCCAATTCTGTCCAAGCCTAGTGCATATTCCAGCCTCATGCTGGGGTGTCCTCAGCAAGATCTCTGGCTTTGTGGGCTACAAGCTGGGTCGGAGAACCAAGCTGGAGAACCCATAAGGGACGTACTTAGGGCTTCTGGAGTAGCCGTCATTCTGATGCTCCACTTCTGAGCTGCCTTCTCTCAACCTCTTCCTCTCCTCTTGTACTGGGTACTCCGACCCTGGAAAGAAGATAGAGTCTGCACCCACCTCTCTTGGGCAAGACCCTTTCTTCCTTCACCTCTCAAGCAGGTCCTGACTGCCAGCCTTGTACCAGGCTCAGATGGGCACAGGGGCTGCCGGGCTAAGGAAGATGTCATTCCTACCCAGGAGGAGTTCATTCATTAGCCTGTGAGCCACATAAAATGTAGGGCAGTATATTAAGAATATTTACAAAATGCCATGGGAACATTTAACTGTTCAACTGCCTGAAAAAGTTAGGGAAAATATCATAGAGAAAGTGGCTTTTGATCTGGGTCTTGCAGGATGAATAGGAGTTTGCCCATTGAATAAAGTGTTTGTTGGAGGAGGGGTCCACTCCAGGCAGGTGGAATAACAATGTAATGGCACTGGAGAGGTAAGCTGGGATCAGACTGAGGACTTTGAATTCCAGGCTAAGGAATTTAGCATTGTACTAGCCATGAAAGAGCCAAGAAAGGTTCCCAAACACAAGATCAGCTGTAATCCAGTTTGTTTGCATGTTAGAAGGATCACTCTGGTGGTAAGTTTTTTGGCAAAGATGTGGTGTTGACATGTGGATCCAGTGAGTTGGTGGGACTCCAGGGGCAAGTGTGGAGGAGGCAAGTGGAAAGATGAATGTGGCACTCAGAAGACATGTAAGACTTTCGATATAGACTTGGAAGCCATCCTCAAAGCAGTGGGAGTTGAAGACGAGGGAGGGCATATAGGGTGAGAACAAAAGGAGCCAGCCTGAGGAACATGAGTGGCAGAGCAGGAGCAGCTACAGAGGTGGGAGGTAAACCAGAATTTTCAATTAGTAGAGGGCGGCCATTGGGCCAAGTGCTGCTGCAGACTGGTTGAATAGGAGGAGACAAGGCCATGAGATTTGGGGTTCTTTGGAGGGCAGTGGCTGATGGTGCAGGGATAGCAGGCCCCACCCTCCCTGCCATGACCTGCTGCTGGAGAGCCTTGGGCCCCCCTGGATGAGGGGGCTCAGGGACCACAGGCAGCCTGGCTGTTCATCCCCAGCCTCTCCCCGACCCGCTTTGTCTGCCTGGCGCTCTGGGTGGGCATGCGCAGGGAGTCTGGCCCACTGCCAGCAGTCCTTCCTGCCGGCGGCAGCTGAGACGGGGAGGGAACAGGCCCTAATTGAGCCTTTGTCGAGCCTCCCACAGAGCCCTGGGCACTGAACACAGCGGGGTCTCTGACTCTGTGAACTCCCAGCCAGAATCCCACAAAGTCAAATTGCAGAGGCAGGCCCCACACGCTGCAGCCTGGCCACACTTCTGTACCCTGTGTCATTCTGCCCCATGCTGTTCCCCAAGCCTGTTCCCCGCACCCTCAATTGACATCCTCCAGGCCCCAGCTTAGAAGCCAGCTCTCCACGAAGACTTCTAGGATGTGCCGGTTTGACTGTTTTCATAGCCAGGCTCTTTGTCTGCACCTCAAACAATGCCGTGCACTTTGTGAACATTCCCTCATTTACCACAGTTCTGCAGTGTAGTTGGGCTACCCTTTCCCAGATAAGAAAACCAAAGTTCAGAGATATTGGGCAATTAAGGTTGTCACAGCTGGAGAACCAGAGCTGTTGGGTCCGGAAGCTGTGCCCTTTACCACTCAACTCCCTCCTGGGCCTGGCCATGCCCATGGGGGCAGAGAGAACCACACGAGCCCACACTTGTCTCCTGTGATGATGGCTTTCACCTCTAGCTCTTGTTCGCTGACCAGAGGGGCTCGTGGTGGTGGGACAGGACAAGTGGCCACCAAGCTTTGCCCGGCACTCTTCTAAAGATTTCTGACATCTGTGATCTCCTGGTCATCTTTGCTTGGGCCTCATGAGTTATTTATTTATTTATTTGGATAGGTCAGTAGTTCTTTAATGAAATTTCTGCTCCATAAGTGCTTTTTTGAAAATAAAGATTTCGCTGTGTCCCAGGCTGAACTCAGCATCTTCTCCCCACTCCCCAGGTCTTCCACCAGCCTCCCTGTCCCTCCCATCCCTGAGCCAGAAATCTGGGCATCATCTTCACCCTGTCTCTCCTGCATCCCTGCAGGCAGCCATCGGTCACCAGAGCCAAAGAGGCTCCCCCATAAATGTCTTTCAAGCCGTGTCCCTCTGCTGTTCCTCCAGTTCAAGATTCATTGTCTCCCCTGGACCATTTCATTAGTCTCCTAATGGACCAGATAAAATTGTTTGCTGTCCCTGGCCATGCCAGTCCTCTCCTGCCACCATGCTTTTGCAGGTGCCATACCCCTCACCAAGCGTGGCTTTCCTGCCCTTTCCACTTGGTGTGCCACAGCCCTCAGTTTCCTCCTCTCACCCAGAGATCACCCCATAAACTCTCCTTGACCTAACCCATGATGAATGCCCCCACAGTCTTCCACTAAAAGCCTGCGGACCACCATTGGGGAGGCCTTCGAGCGACTGCACCGGCTGCTGCGGGAGCGGCAGAAGGCCATGCTGGAGGAGCTGGAGGCAGACACGGCCCGCACGCTGACCGACATCGAGCAGAAAGTCCAGCGTTACAGCCAGCAGCTGCGCAAGGTGCAGGAGGGGGCCCAGATCCTGCAGGAGCGGCTGGCCGAAACCGACCGGCACACCTTCCTGGCCGGGGTGGCCTCGTTATCTGAGCGGTAAGTGCCCGCCTCCCAGGGGTCTTCCCCAGGTGAGTTTCCCCTCCCCGGTCCCTGTAGGGTGGTGGGAATAGAGGCAGATAGGGTGGTTAGCAGAGAATTCATTCATTTAAAATCTCCGTCAAACACACAGGACATCTGGTATGTGCCAAAGCCTGGGCTAAAGGCTTTATGGATTAATATTATATATTATATATATTTATTATTATATATAAATTATATAATTGTTATAAATATTATAAATATGTTGTTATAAATAATAAACATATAATTAATCATTTTAATTATATAATTATATATTAATGTACAATAATATAATAAATAATACATTTATTATATATTAATATATTTATTATTGTATAATTATAATAATTACTATATATAATATTTTTAATCCTGTAATATATTACTTGTGTTATTATTTATATTATATTATAAATGTGTCTTATGTTATCTATTATTATTTCTAATAACATTGATATTATGTATAATAAATAGTAATATTTATATTATTATAACCCTGCTAGCCCCTTGGAGGTAGTTAGCACTGTCATCCCCATTTTACCCATGTAGAAACTGAGGCACAGAGAAGCTGGAGCAATTGGCAAGGCCCTTCATCTAGTACGTAGGAGAGCCAGGATTCAAGCCCAGGTCTCTCTGGTTCCCTAGCCACCTTTAATAATAGTAACAGCACTTAATTATTGGTTTGCTAATGATCAACACTGAGAGCTGGCATCACATATTCAGTGTCGACCATGTGCCGAGCACCATGCTAAACATTTTACGTACGTTATGCCATGTAATCCTCACAAGCCTAGAAGGCAGCTGTTAGCATAGTATCCATTTTAAAGATGAGGAAACTGAGAGTAATAGCTGGAGAAGTAGGGAGTGGCACAAGTGGGCACTTGAGTCTGGGTCTGGCAGACTTCACATGCATGACCTCACCCTACGTCAGCTGCCCTGAAGGAGCCGGGGCAGGAATTGAGCCCCCAGTGCAGCCTGCTCTCCTGTTCTCCTTCCAGGCTCAAAGGGAAAATCCATGAGACCAATCTGACCTATGAAGACTTCCCAACCTCCAAGTACACAGGCCCCCTGCAGTACACCATCTGGAAGTCCCTGTTCCAGGACATCCACCCAGGTAAGGCCCTTCCTGCCACTCACCAAGAAGGCCCAGGAAGAAACAAGGATTCTCATGGGTTGGAGCTAAATGGGGCACCTCTCAGCCCAGCCCTCTGCTTTACACACAGCGTGGGGGCAGGGCAGAGGGCTGAGGAGAATGCCTTGCTGAGCACCTGCTATGTTCCAGGGCCTGTGCTGGGCGCCTGTGCAATCACTCAACCCAGTGAACCTTCATACAACCCCAGGAGGCAGGTTCCACTAGTGTACCCATTGTCTAGATGAGGAGACCGAGGCCCTGGGCAGTTCACTCATTCACTCTATATAAGTACAGGATATATCAAGCACCTGCATCACACCAGGAAGTATTCTAGGTGCTGGAGATACAGCAGTGAGCAAACCAGACAAGAATTCCTACCCTTGTGGATCTTTCTTACATGCTGGCTTGTGAGAGAGAAAGAAAATAAAATTACATAAGTAAAATATATAGTTTATCAGATAATGATAAAAGATAAGGAAGGAGGCTGGGGATGTATAGGTAGGATAGAGTGTTTTGACAGGGGATCCAGTTAGAAGACCTCACTGAGAAGGAGGAACTAGAATAAAGGCCTGAAGGAAGAAGAAGAGTGAGCCCTATAGGTATCTGAGGGAAGAGTGCTCCTGGCAGTGGGAACAGCAAGTGCAAAGGCCCTGAGGCAGGCACAAGCCTGGCATGTTCAGGGAACAGTAAGGAGGCTAGAGTGGCTGGAGTGGAATGAGTGAGAGGGAGAGTGGAGGTGAGGAGGTCAGGGAAACAGGAGTAGCCAGACCACGAGGACCTCTAGGTCCATGTGAAAACTTTACATTTTATGCTGAGTGAAGTGGGAGCCATTGGAGGTTTGGGGGGCAGTGAAGTGACACGAGCTGACTTCAGTTTTTAAAGTGTCCCTCTGGCTGCTGCCTTGAGAATTGGCTACAGGAGGTAAAAGGTGTAATCCAGGTGAGGGACTAGGGTGGCTTGGAGCTCGATGGTGGTGACAGAGGTGGTGAGAAGGGATTGGAGTTAGGATCTATTTTGAACAGAGAGCCAATGGGACTTGCTAATGGATTGAATCTCAAGTGTAAGAGAAAAAAAGGCAAAGAAGACTATGATTTTGGCCGAGGTGCCTGGGAGGATGGAGCTGTCAACACGTGAGGTTAGTGACGCCAATTAAATGTCTGAGTGCAGACATGGAGAAGCTAGTGGGAATGACAGGTCTGCAGGATGGCAGGAAGATCAGGGCTGATGTCATCAGCATGTGGATGGTATTGAATGAGTCTGAATGAGACCACCTAGGAAGTGAGGATAAAGAGAAAAGAGAGAGGGTCGCTCTAACATTTGGAGCCCTGGAGAACTCCTGGAAGTCAAGGACAGGAGGGGGATCAGCCAAGGAGACCAAGAAGGAACAGCCAGAGAAGTAGGAGGAAGACCTGGGTCCATCCAGAAGCCAAGTGGAGAAAGTGTCTCGAGGAGGAGAGAGTGGCTAGTGGTGGCTCATGCTGCTACATCAAGTATGGGAGAACCAGAACTGATGGTTCTCTGGGTCTGGCAACCTGGAAGTCTTTGGTGACCTTAACAAGAGCTGCTCTGGTGGAGCAGTAGGGGCAAGAGCCTGATTGGAGGTCATCCAAAAGAGAACGAGAGAGGAAGTGGAGACAGTGCTTTCAAGGAGTTTTATTTAAGGGAAGGAGAGAGAATGTGGCAGCGGCTGTTTGTTTAAGATAGAAGAAATGCCAGCATATGGAGTGGGGGAGGGGGATGGAAAAGATCCAGGAGAAGGCGGAATTGAGGATGTAGGAGCCAGAGAGTTGCTGGAGTGATGGCCAGGAGTGGGACCCACCGCTGCCTCTGTTGGGAGCCTGGAGAAGGTAGAATAAATGGGCACCAAAGCAGAGGAAGCAGTGGTGGGAGCTTGTGGGGGTTCTCTTCTGCCAGTTTCACCTTTCCCAACGAGGTCAGAAGCAAGGTTGTCAGCTGAGATGAGGATGGGGTAGAGGAGGTGATGGGAGGTTTGCCCAGAGAGAAGGTGTGAAGTGAGTTCCTAGTAGAGTTAGTAGACCCTGGGACTGGGAGATCACCACTTTCCCAAAGTCACAGGACCCACAAGGGCATCAGATTCAAACCTATTGGCAGCAGGGAATTTTCTGTGTTTCTGAATCAAGCACAACGTCTTTTAGAGGTGAGACAAGGATACAGAAGGGAATTCTCCCTAAGGGGCAGACACTGTTACTATCATTTTTTAGATGAGGAAACTGAGGCACAGGGCTATTAGGAACTTGTCCCTGGTCACAACTTGTCAATGGTACAGGATTTAAACCCAAATCTGTCAAGAGCCTGGAGTCTGTACCCATACCTACTAAGCTAACCAGGCATTCTCTGGCCTCATACGAACCCAAGAAAGCTGCTGGGGAGGCAGGCTCAAAGGGACTCATTGATTTCCCACCCAGCAGTCGGAGCTCTTTACACCTGTCTGGATCCATTCTTTTGATCTACAAACATTGAAAGTCCTTCGAGGCACTTTCAGGGGTCAGGGGAGACAGATGGGCAAACACTCCCTGGCAGTCCAGTGGGACAGGGGCCATGATGAGGGATTTACACAGAGTCCTGGGAGCCCAGAGGGGCAACTGGAGATTCTGGGTGGGGCAGGGGTGGAGCCAGGGAAACACTAAGTAGATGATATTTGAACTGAGTGCTGAAAACTGAGGACTTTCCCACTCAGGGAAGGGTGGGGCCTGGAGGTGCCTCTGGACAACCCCCAGCGTTGGGAACTGTATAGGCAAAGGCTGTGGGGGGCGGGGCAGGGGCACGAATGATCCAAGATGTTCACGATTGGGCCTTCAGGTGCAGATGGACAGGGGCTGAGGGAAGTCACTGGGTGTAAATGCTGGACAGAGATGGGGCTCCCCTGTAGGTGACTGAAGAACTTAACTTGATGCATCATTGCCAATTTCACAGAAGTGAAGGGACACATCTTAGTACCCTTAAATCCGGATCTGTACCCTCTTTGACAAAGGGGACAGTAGTTGGGGGAAGGGCCCATTTTCTAGCAGACAAGGTGGGGCTCCTGGCTATCCTCATGGGATGGGGTTCTCTGTGTGCTCCCAGCCTTGGAGGGGCCTCCACACTGGGACCCAGTAGGGTAAGGGCATCACATGGGTGAAGCAGCATAATTCAGGGAGGCAACAAGCCCATCCAAGGGTCCTGTTCCCTTCCCTGACCCAGGGAAGCCCCTCAGGCAGATGGTCTCAGAGCTCTACTTACCTCAGCTGCCACCTGCTCCACCCCTACTATAGCTCAGAGGGGCAATCCAAGCACCTCAGCTTGACAGTCAAAGTCCTATGAGATGTGAGCCCTGCCATTCTCTCATTCTTCCCTCTAAATCACACTTAGCCACACTGAACCATCAGTCTTACATGAGCTATATTCTGTCTCCCCCACACTTTTACACCTGCTGTTCCCTTTGCCTAGAACGTTCTACACCAACCTCAATGTTTAATGACTAATTCCTACTCTCTTTCACATCTTAGTTGATAAACACCTCCTCTGGGAAGCATTCCTGATTTCTCCAGGTAGCTCTGGGCTTTCCTGGTCTCACTGTTTTGTTAATAATGTCTGTGTGGCCATCTCTCTCACTGGACTGTGAGCTCCGAGGGGTCAGGGGCTGGTTCTGACTCATCACTATACATCCCCAGCAACCAGTACAGTGTTTGTTGATGAATGAATGAGTGAATGAGTCCTGATCTCAGTTCTGTTACTAGAATAGTGCCTGGCATTAAGAAGGTGCTCAATAATTATTT